GACATCGCGTCGTAAAACATTTACATCAAGTTAAAGACGTCAAAATGTTGATAATCAACTTGTGTCGGTTACACGTTTTAGTCATCATTGATCAACTGGCCGATCATTGAAAGGTGATTAAAGATGTGTCAACTAGGCTGGTACTGTCAGCCTAGACACGGGTCGAGTCGATACCACGATAATTTGTAAGTGCATTTCTTCGTTTTGTTCATTAGGATAAGTCATAGCGAGGATATTCGTGAACAATCATGCAGTCAAACTCTCTGACGTTTCTCAATGTATACTAAAACGCTGAGTTTAAGATTAAAGGTTCTAAATGATCAGAAAGAACGCTTCTGTGTGTATTCGTGCTAAGGAATTCCCAGGGGTTTCCCCAGAAATGTGGAAATAGTCCGTCAGTGTTTACGTCATTCCAAGCAACAGTCTCGTGAAAAACGTATAAACGTCTAATTGTGTCGTACATACACTTGTGGCCATTTAGATCACCCATGATTACATACTAGGGTTTGAGTGGTTCATCATAGAGAGCTTGAAGGTCTGACAGACTGGGAGCTGATGAAGGCGGAATATACAGTGAACACATAGTAAACGCAACGTGCAATGTAAATGGAACTGCAACGGCAGTAGGACACCGTATCAGTCGACGCACGTTGCTACGACGTCTACGTGACGCAGGTATTGGAGCTCACCGTCCCTTCCGTGGAATGGCATTGACCTGGGAACATCGACGTCGAAGACTGCAATTGGTCAGGACAGTAGGACGTTGGCATGTCCGTGATTGGCAGAGAGTGCTTTTCTCTGACGAAAGCAGGTTTCAGCTGTTTCACAATGATGGTCAAGCTCGAGTTTACCGTCGCAGGGGGAACGTATGGTGCCTGGCTGTATTCAAGAAGTTCATCCCTATGGTGGAGGTGGTGTGATGGTTTTTGGCGGAATTTGTCGCGAGACTTGACATCTTCCGTGGCAACCTCAACGGCCAGCGATACAGAGAGGATGTTCTTCAACCCGTGGCACTTTCATTCCTCCGCCAGCAGGAACAGGGAACACGCCTCCAGCATGTCAACGCTAGACCACACTCTGCAAGGCTCGTCCAGGACTTCTTGAATACGAACGTCAACGTTCTTCCCTGGCCAGCATTCTCACCTGACTTGAACCCAATTGAACTCTTGTGGAATCATCTGAAGCATCAGATCCGAAGACGTCCAGCAAACCAGCAACAGCTTGCCAACGCTTTAAAAACTGAATGGAATCAGATTCCCGATTACGTCATCAGGCGGCTGACAACATCAATTAGGCGGCAAGTCTGGGGGTGCATTGGTGCTCACAGTGGTCATACTCGTTACTGAGCGAACCAGGTATCCGTCAAAGACCACAAAATTATCAAGACAGTACGTGGTTGACTCTGATCATTCCTGTGAACTGTGATCTGCCTACCCCCATGTTCATGTAAACGTCATGTACACGTCACCTGTTTTGAGTTTCGCACTGAAATTGTCATGGACTATCGCATGTGGCCCTGTTAGCGTTTGTTTGTTTGTTCAAAGCCGCACTCAGCAATATTCCAGCTATATGACGGCGGTCTGTAAAATAATCGAGTCTGGACCAGACAATCCAGTGATTGACATCATGAGCTTCGATCCACGCATTTGGGATCGATGACATGTATCAACCAAGTCAGCGACCCTGACCACCCGATCCCGTTAGTCGCCTTTTACGACAACCATAGTCGTCTTTTACGGCAAGTATGGGTTGCTGAAGACCTATTAGCGAAGACCCTGTTAGCGAATACACCATCATTGAATAACATTCTCTTGTTTGTGTTCATTTTATTGACCATCAGGCATGGGTGTATATTTCCTTTTGCCAACTAGTTTAGTTTGATTTCATTTTCTGACCCTTTCAGGCTCTGTCCCTTTGATATTTTTTGGAAGATTCTGACTGTGGTTTGCTTTTGCTTCTAGCAATTTGTTTGACATTTGTTTCTGAGTGATGCTGTGGAACCGACTGAGATGCTGATTGTACTTGTGTTACAGATCATTCCTGATCCAGAAGATGATTGAATTTGAGACGTGTTGGGAAGAGGCTCTGTGTTGATTGTTCAGGTGAAAACAACTGTTGAATATCAGTTTTCACCAATCTCATTAAAATCAGATCTTAGTTCTCGCTATGCTAAACAAAGATCTGAGGACATCCCATTAAGGGTCACGTCAGAACGACCTTTCATCCAACCAATCAGATCCTTACCAGATCATGAAAGTGACAGTCGGAATGTGTTTTCTAATCATGCAACCACGCAATATTTAACACGGGGTATTCTGAACGACAGTTACGGGTTTATTATTATATCCATACAATCTAGTCCATCTATAAGCCATTCCAGAATGTTCTTCTTCTCAGTTTTATTTTTTTTAATCGAGAGTACGTCAGAATATGTTTGGAAGCGTAGTCGCCAGTTTCGTAAACTAGTGTCGTAAACTTGTCAGTCATTTCATTGGTCGGTCAAAATTCGCGAAAGGTCGTTCTGACGTGACCCGTCATGGGATGTCCTCAGATCTTTGTTTAGCAGTAGCGAAAACTAAGATCTGATTTTAATGAGATTGCAGTTTTGACCTAAGTGAGATCTGTTTGGCAGTTCATTGAGTATGTGGTGACTTGCGAAGTGAGGATTTTTAGGGTGGTTTCAGATGGTGTTCTGGTGTTCTGTTTGGAAAAGTTTTGTAGCATCAGCAAAACTGACATTTCCAGTGAATTCAATTTTGTTTAGTTCCATCTGGTGTTTCATACGGGACAACCCTTCGAGAAAGAAGACTGGCTTCCTGAGCAGTTGGTGCATTTTTTTATAGTTACTGTCACAATCTTACATGTGACTTCTCACCACAGCGAGCACATGTAACAGTATGTGCAAGTATTGACACCATGACCATACTTTGGGCTTGTAAAGCATCTGAGAGGATTTGAAATATAGACTCCAACATTGACGTTGCAATATCCTGCCATTATTGATTTTGGAGCAGTAGGAGATAAAATGGAGAACAGGTACGTATTTGTTTGAGAGGTTTCGTTGGTTTTATGGGCTGGGAAGCGTTTGACATAAAGAAAACCTTGGTCTTTCATTTTTTGAGACGACATCAAAACCATGTCAGCAAACAATTGATCTTGGTCCCTCACGATTCCTTTACTGGTATTAAGTGTTCGGTGAGCAGAAACCGAAACCGGGACGCCTATAAAAGATTCAGTTGGCATGAGCTTTGTTGCTTGCTGCCTTTCTCAACACTTAATTAAACAGTGCACCTGACAGCAAGTGTTGATTTTTTTCTGACGCCACCTGCAATGCCAATACTGCAAAAGGGTTCAACTTTAAAGTGTTTTATCTAAAGTCTCGATCACCGTGAAACGTGGCCAGTCATCAATGGATTTGGACGGTCACTGTTCATCATCAATTTCAAGTGGACGTTTTTTTGGGGGGGAGGGTGTTTTCGTAATCCATGTTTAATTTATATTGTTTCATCATCCGAGCTCTCCACCCACCATGGAGTGTCATAAAGACGATGCTAATAACAAGTGGATCTCCAACGTGCAGCACCAATGATACCCGGATGATATACTCAAGCAGAAAAATTTAAAGATTAACTTTTCCGCCAGATTGGCCCATAAACCACCGCCTTCTCGGCATAGGACTCTAGGCAAATTACATACTTGAAAGTATACATTTCAAATTCAACTTATGTAACATTTAGCCAAGACAAAAAACAAATCATTACAATATTTTGACAAATCATTTCAATAGTTTACACATATTATGCAACACAATATTAATCCACAGGGTTTGGCATGGCCAGCCGATTGATAGAACCGGGCAAATACTACCACCCGTCTAGGCGGAGTAAGGGTCAAAGTAGTGTGTTGGGCAAAAGGAACACTGTTCTTGGAACCAGTACCCTCAACCACCAGACTCCCGTCCACCACACGACACAGGGGCGCAACCCACGGCAAACGGGTTGCCCACTTCGGTCGCCTCTTACGACCAGCAATGGGGTGCTGGGGACACACTCTACCCCGGGTCCCCACGGCGTAATCGAAAAGAGGGGACGCTTGATTACCCTTCTGGTTGGTTGGTTTGTTGTTTAACGCCGCACTCAGCAATATTCCACTTATATGGCGGCTGTCTGTAAATAATTGAGTCTGAACCAGACAATCCAGTGATTGATCTTCTTCAACCATGATGAGCATCGAACTACGCAATCGGGATCGATGACATGCATCAACCAAGTCAGCGAGCCTGACCACCGATCCTGTTAGTCGCCATTTACGACAAGCGTAGTGCCTTTTCGGCAAGCATGGGTTGCTGAAGACCTATTCTACCCCGGATCGACAACAACTGTAGTTTATTTTATGATATCAACAACTAACATTCAGATGGTGGAGTTGTTTGTTGTTGTTAGAGACAGTTTCGGTCACTGCTTCAAGACAATCAATTTAATTTGTGTAAGCGCGCTTGACGTTAATTTTGTATTTCACAACACGTTTTTTTCGCCACAGCAGGTCCGACCAACAAATAAAACTTGAGGGAAATAGAGGTTTTCTAGTTTTTTGGGTACAATGTCTGAAGCATATTTCTGGTGTACCCCGCTGTGATATCGATGGTTGGTTGGTTTGTCGTTTTACGCCGCACTAAGAAAGTGGGTTCTGGTCCAGTGGTTGATATTATGGGCAACCTCGTGATACGATGATATGTTGTTGTTGTTGTTTGTTGTTTAACGTCGCACTCAGCAATATTCCAGCCATATGACGGCGGTCTGTAAATAATCGAGTCTGGACCAGACAATCCAGTGATTGATATCATGAGCATCGATCCCGTTAGTCGCCTTTTACGGCAAGCATGGGTTGCTGAAGACCTATTCTACCCAGGATCTTCACGGGTCGATATGGAATGTTGCTAAAATTAAAGCGGCGTAAAACCATATTCACTAACTCACTCACTTGGAGACTATTTGTTTCAGATAATGTTCCTGCTGCCACACCTGATCCAACTCCTGCTCGGTACCATCGCTGTGTCTACAACTGCAAACGGCCAGGCAATACAGTCGAGTAACTACGAGTCATTTGATGGATGCAAGAAGGGGTGGGTGTTACCGAAACGGCCTTTCCTCGTTGTCACCACCTTGTCCCTTTTGAACTGCGCAGAAACATGCTCACGAACTTCCGGTTGCTACTCAATCAACGCCTGCAGACAGCAAGACTCATCCATGCGATGCATACTGATAGCTGATTTCTCCAGGACCGGTTGTGCTGGACTCGAGGCAATGAGTAACTGCCGCCATTTGCAAAACAGTCAGGCTGTCGCAATGGTAAGATATCTACAATACACCTTCCAGTGCCGTGCCCGTGAAGATCCGGGGGAGAATAAGTCTTCAGCAACCCATGCTTGCCGTAAATGGCGACTATGATTGTCGTAAAAGGCGACTAACGCGATCGGGTGGTCAGGCTCGCTGACTTGGTTGATGCATGTCATCGATCCCAATTGCTCACCAGATTATGAAAGTGACAGTCGGAATATGATTTCTATTCATGCAATCGAAATCTTTATTCCGAACGATAGTTACGGGTTTAACGACTGAATCCATACAATCTAGCTCATCTATTAGCCATTCCAGAATGTTCTTTTGTTCAGGTTTCAAATTTGTAATCGAGAATTTGTCAAAATATGTTCGAAGCGTAGTCGCCAATTTGAAAGTGCCGTAAAGCACGAGAAGGCTGCCTTCTGATTGGTCATTCCATTGGTCGGTCAAAGTTCGCACTAGGTCGGTCTGACGTGACCCGTAATGGGATGTCCTCAGATGTTTGTTTAGCGGTCTGATCTGATTTTAATGAGATGGGTCTTCAGCAACCTATGCTTGCCGCAAAGGCGACTATGCTTGTCGTTTGCTTGTTTGTAGTTTTTAGCCGCACTCAGCAATATTCCAGCTGTATGACGGCGGTCTATATGACATACTTGTCGTAAGAGGCGACTAACGGGATCGGGTGGTCAGGATCGCTGACTTTCTTGATGCATGTCATCGTATCCCAATTGCGTGGATCGATGTTCATGATATCACTCACTGGATTGTCTGGTCCAGACTCGATTATTTATTTTCTTTGTATGTTTCAGATGGCAGCTAATCCTTGCTTCAACGGGGGGTCGTATATCAACAGCGCGTGTTCGTGTGTGTGGGGTTTCGCTGGGGCAACATGTGAACGAATAGTTAGAGGTAAGTGAACGAGTTCAGGCTACCTAATTCTGCACACCGTACCAGAAATATAATTGCCAGTTATTAGTAGAAAAAGCCCGCGACGCTAACAAATAGCTCGATAATTTAAGCCTCGTTTGGGAATTAAGCAGCGCGTGGAATGAGTGCTCGATGAATACCTTTAAATTACTTTTTAGGTCACTTTGAATTATTTCAGAAAAACGTCGTTCCTATTTAACTGTTTTATATATGACTACTTAGGACTACGGGTAAACATGGGAGTCGTACAAAACAACCTTAGCCGTACGACAGTCGTTAGTCTATGTTAAAGTATGGGAGTTAGGATCACCTTAGCGCAGCGTGAAGATCCGGGGTAGAATAGGTCTTCAGCAACCCAAAAAGCGACTAACGGGATCGGGTGGTCATGCCACTGACTTGGTTGATGCATGTCATCGATCCCAATTGCGTGGAGCGGTGCTCATGATATCAGTCACTGGATTGTCGGGTCCAGACTCGATCATTTACAGACCGCCGTCATATAGTTGGAGTCATTATATTGAAACACTCAAGTTTCGGATTTAAATCACAAAGGGCAATACGAAGAGTAAAATATGTGGCAGTATTCCAGTTAAACATCTTGTGGCGTGTCAGCTTAATGTGGGAGGAAAACCCGAAGTGATGCAGGTCACCATCTTCCTGAGGCAAGGGAGTTAACTGACTATAAAAGTCCAGTTTCCACCCTTGCCGAACTAGGCTGTCATTACGGAGTTACATTTTGGCTGGACTAACGAGTCTATGCATAGTCCATTCAAAATCGCGCAACGAAATCGAAATCCGGTTCGTAAACTGTCATGCAGATTTCGGTCGATTGCAGGACTTGCAAAGCATGTGCACCGCCAACTCGTTGTTGGGAGATATTTTCCAACTCTTTTCATTTTTTTAATCAAGGTGCTCACGTGATTGGATGCATTTCGCGATGTAAGACCCTCGTAAGATTACGATCTAGCCCAGTAACTCCAGCCTAGTTCGGCAAGGGTGGAAACTAGACTTTTAAAGTCCGTTAACTCTCTTGCCTTGGGAAGATGGCAGGTCTCAGACGTTTACCACCTCGGTGAAACCGACGAGCACGGGTATGGTGTTGACAAACCTAGAAACATAATCGGGGCGAACCGGGATTCGAACCCACAGTCATAGGTTTCTGGCGTCCCCAAGGGACGCAACTCTGCAAAGCGAATCGCGGTGCCTTTGACGACTGGGCCACCCGTGCCCACGGTTTAAATCACAAAGGGCAATCAACAACATCAATAACAGACCTAACATAGATTTCAGTGCACTCACGAATGTTGGGAATTTGTCACTGTCGAACGTCCTGAACGTGGTACCTGCTCCGCTCTTGAATCCTGTAACAGTGTTGGAAGCTGGTAGAGAGTCTATGTTTTCCATTGGTTCCCTGTCCGGACCACGCAAGTCAGATCGTGGAAGACCTCGAATCGTCCTCGTGTGGCTCTCAGATAGCTACAGCCAGCCTCCTACAAACTCTCACCTCACGATACTTCGTAAATGATGTAGTCTGACCAGATGTTGACATATAAAGTCGGATACCGCTTAAGTTCTCTGATTGCTGCAGACCACTGAAATAATTAGTCACATTGTACGAGCGCTTCATGCATTTGCTGCCACTAACAATAATCTGATAACACATAATATATTGTGTCTTCTCATAACCTCCAAATACCTATACTTTATTTAATCGAAAACGGGGGTGGCCATCTTGGCCTAAATACACCTTAACCGGGTTTTATTTTCAATCTTGAATCTTAATTCAAGCTTGACGTATTTGGAGGCAGCAATTAAGATAAAAGATAGTATGCATAATATTATTTAAAACATTTTCCCCCAGTCCGAGCAAAATAAATCATGGGATATATATATATATATATATATATATATATATATATATATATATATGGTATTACTTATAAAGTTAAATTATATTAAGTTATATTATATATATATATATATATATATATATATATATATATATATATATATATATATGGTATTACTTATTAAGTTAAATTATCTGATGCTATTATATTTTTTATTGACTATTCAACGAAAAGTAATCATGCAATTATCATCTCATTGATTGAAATCTCGATAAATCAACCCTGTACCTTTCGGTCTAAAGCATCATTATTATTTTTTTGTTGAAGCTACGGTGGCTGAGTGGGTTACATCGCTGACTTTGTGTTGTGGCGATGAGGTGCCTCACTCTGGCAGTGTGGGTTCGAATCCCGGAGGGGACTCAACCCAAAAAAGTACGAGAACCTGTACTTTACATAGAAAGTGTTATCCGAAATATAACATTTGTTACATTTGACCACTTTCTAAATGGCATTGTGTTTTCAAAGCTTTCGGCCATGGGAGTCGTGCCAATTTACTACTGTGAGAGGGGTACACAAAGTACGTGATCTACACTACCAGTTGTCGGACTTTCATATTGTGGAAGCCTCGGCGGCTGAGCAGGTTAGATCGCTGACTTTGTGTGCTGGCGATGAGGTGCCTCACTCTGGCAGTGTGGGTTCGAATCCCAGACGGGACTCAACCCAAAAAAGTACGAGAATCTGTACTTTACATAGAAAGTGTTATCCCACACAACATTAGTTACATTATTATTATTATTATTATTATTACAGGCTGCAGAGAGGCCTACTTGCTTGGCGTACGTGGAATGGGCTTCTATGAAATCCAACCATTCGGCTCCCCAATTTCATACATCGTCTACTGTAATTGCATGTGGGTCGGCACCGTCTACGCCTTCAAGAGAATAATCCCCCCTCCTCCATCATGTCAACCCATAAGCTACAACCGAACGTGGGAGGAGTACAAGACAGGCTTCGGGGACATCAACTGTGAGTACTTCCTCGGCCTGGAGACCATCTACCAACTGAACACGTACGAAAAGTTCCAATGGAACATATACAACATGGTGGACGGAAAGGCGTTTCCGGCAGCTAGCATCTACCTGGAGAGCACAGTCCTCCAATCAGAGGCAACTGATTATAAAATTGATTTTGTTCGAATTTTCACCAGATCTTATGAACATGGAGATGACGCCTTTGACCAAAGCGAGAAGCCGAGAAAGTTTTGTACCTTTGACCGGGACTGTGGGGGGTGTGCGGGTAAGGAAGGAGGGGCGTGGTGGTTCACAACCAGCTGTTCGGGAGGAGCAATCACTGCTGCAGCAGATAAGATGTATTGGCCCGTCAATGGAGTTGACAAGGTCATCAACGAGACGTATATACAGCTGGATCATATGCTCTACTACTAAGACCACATTCATTTCAGTCTATGTGGTTTGGTACGGTGGCCCATACCCGCCACTAGTGAGATCATTTTTCACTGTATGCCTCTATATTTTATCTGGCGGCCGCAAGATACCTCCACTGGTGAGATAAAATATAGAGGCATACAGTGGAAAATGATCTCACCAGTGGCGGGTATGGGCCACCGTAGTTTGGAGATGTGTAATAGAATATTAGTAGGTAGCATACAGAAATTTTGAATTTTTTTAGGGATGGGTCGGGGTGAGGAGCTAAATACGAGGGGTGGTTAATAAGTTCTGATCCCATTGAAAGACTTTCCCTTTCGTTGATGTTTAACGCCGCACTCAGCGATATTCCAGCTGCATGACGACGGTTGACATAATGAGCATCGATCCACGCAATTGGATTGATTGATTGAATATTGTTTTATGCCGCTTTTAGCAATATTCCAGCAATATCACGGTGGGGATTCGAACCCGGGCCTTTAGGTGACGAGCGAACGCTTTAACCACCAGTCTACCCCACCGCCCCCCACGCATTTGGAATACGATGACATCCTTTAACCAAGTCAGCGAGCCTGACCACCCGGTCCCGTTAGTCGCCTCTTTCGACAAGCATAGTCGCCTTTTACAGCACGAATGGGTTGCAGAAGACCTATTCTACCCCGGATCTTCAAAGACATTAAGACATTAAAATAATATATTTTTCAAAATAATCACCTTCCTCATTACTGAACATTTGCTAACGGTGTTGGGGGATTTTAACCCACTCCTTTTCTTGGCTGTCCAAATTGTGTGGATCGATGCTCATGATGTCAATCAGTGGATTGACCCGAATATTTGTAGACCGCCATCATATAGCAGGAATATTGCTGAGTGCGACAAACAAACTAAACTTACTACGTTCTTTTTTACTGCTATGACGTCATCGTTCCAGTCGAGGGTTCTGGTTAGGTCTTTCTTCGTGTTTGGGAACAGATGGAAGTCTTATTGAGCCAGATCAGGGCCCGCTTGCACAAAGCGATCTTAGTGCTAAGATGTTGTTAACTCCCATACTTTAACATAGGCTTACAATAGTCTTAGCGCTAAGTAGACCGCCTCCGTGGTCTTGTGGTAGAGCGTCCGCCCGGATAGCGGAAGGTCCAGGGTTCGATCCCGGGCCGCGTCATACCAAAAGACGTTAAAAGATGGTACTTGTTGTTACCCTGTCTGGCGCTCGGCATTAAGGGGCTAAAACAAGTACTGGTCGGCTCGGAGTCAGTATACTGTGTCTGATTTGGGTACTCATGTTAAACTGCGGCATGGTATCTCAGTGAGCTAGCACTATAAACACGTGCATGCACGTCGCTATATAAGTGCAATAATCTTGGACGCGACGTTAAACCCAATTTCACCTCACCTCACCTTAGCGCTAAGTTCGTTTTGTGCAAGTGCGTCCAGGGGAATAACGTGGATGCTGAAGGAGTTCATCAAAGCCAAACACGTGGACTATAGCCATGGTCATGACTGATTTGTGATTTGTGCAATGGCGCATCGTCTTGGTGGAAGAGCACACATCTTCACTGCTCCCACGGTTCTTATTTCATCACGTAGTTGACTCACACGTGCAGCATATGCTCCATTTAATGTCTCGCCTAAAAGCGGAGGCCAGAGTCTTTTCAGCTGATGGCGCAGCCGAATGTCAAATATTTCAACGGTTTTGATTGTTTTTTTTTGTTTGCAAAGTGGTCAACCAATTGTTTCATCAATTGTCAGAAATCGCTGCAAGAACCTTTCTGGATCAGCTTTAAACAGCTAGATTATGATATTCTTTCCTGGAAAATGCATACTGAAATAGCAATATGACCCTCAGTCATTTCCCAGTCCGTCAGTGTCATATCATTTTGGTCTTGCTGACGTCACAGCCCTTCCAGGACGAGGGTCGTTTTCAAAACTCTCCTTGCCACGTAAAAACTCGTTATTGGTCAGTAAATAAAAATATATACCCCCTATATGTTTGCAGAGAAAAGGAGTGTCACTCGCCATCTTCCTGGTTTGTTAACATTCGATATCAAGGTCGGTTTCTTGATGATACGCAAATTGACAAGCACATTTCTGGTCATAGATTGGTAGATAGCACAGTTCTACACAAAGCAATCTAAATTCGATTAAAGTCCCTTACTTACCGAAATATCGACAGTTTATTTCGTGAGCTGGAAAAACGTTACGAACCCCGAACGGAAGTGTTCAACTGCGGGCAGAATCAAGCGATTGGAGCGAAATTTGAAGGCTTTAATCTTGAGTGCTTCAGACAAGAACTTTTGACAGCCTCATCTAAAAAATGACAACAGATAATTTCAAGTTAATATTTATCAATAATGCTGTTTGTGTGCAGTGAGTCCATCTTTTAATTTTTGCAAATGGCAAGGGTTTCAATGTGAAAGCCGACATGAACTGCCGCAGCAAAGATGTGGTGTATGTTATGAGATGTTCGGGATGCGGCGAAAACTACATCGGTGAAACCGGCATGGAATTAAAAGATAGAGTCACTGTACACAAACAGCAGATTAGAGACCCTAATGTTCGATGCTTAGGTGTCAGCAAACAGGAAACGGGAATTTTACTATTTTTCCGTTTTATAAATTGTATACAAGTAACAAGCAGCTGAGACTGGAAAAAGAACAAATATTTATCCAATTGATGAAACCAAAATTGAACTCTAGAATGTATTACTAGATTTGTCATTTCTATCGTATATGTTGCACTATTACATTACAAATACTGTATATTTAATTCAAATGTCTCCCTACAATTGTTAAATTACTTGGTGTCGTCGATGGAGAGTGTAAATACATTATGACGTCACAGTTGTAATTGATGACGTCATCATAAGTATGACGTCATTATATGTCATCTGTCAGTTACACTGAAGAGCTGTCATGAGACAGCGAAAGTACTTGTATGATACTGATATAAAGAAGATGATGGACTAACGTGGACTTTATTATTTTATTATATCTATCTATCTATCTATCTATCTATCTATCTATCTATCTATCTATCTGTGTGTGTGTGTGTGTGTGTGTGTGCGCGCGTGTGTTTCAATGGCTACTTATTTAATATATTATATATGTCACCCCAAGGTTGCGTATTTAATATACCGTATTTGACCTAATGTGTGCTTATTACAGCGGGGTGCTTATTATGTCTAATACAGTATTATATACCTATGTCACCAATGGTTACTGTGTAACATAATATATATATTTTAAGGATTGACTGTGGATGTTTTCGGATCATTGAGGTATGAATCGAAAAACCGATGTGCAAACTGTATAAATTCTTACAAAAGTTTGCACATCGGCTTTTCGACTCATACCTCAATGAACCGAACAAAAATCCACAGTCAATCCTTATAATAAAAATTCGACAACGAAAACATGTGTTATCTACAATAGATTAACCAACAACACGTGTATATATCAAAGCAGACAAAAATGATAAACATTCCAGGTGTAGGAAAACATACTGTGGCGTTACATGAATCAGGTGATTGTTTAATTTTTGCACATAACTTGACACTCCCACAAAGTCAGTAGCCAATCAACGGAGAGTAGGATCTAAACAAAGTTCACAGGACCTGTCAATCAAGACAAGAGGCGAGAAGAACTGCAGCAGTCTGACTGTAACGAACCGGAACAAATATGTCCGGGAGAAGGTGGCTGTTTCAAATGACATGGTCAGTTACCGCCAGATCCAAACATTAGTTCCCTGAGAACAGGAAGACACAGTTGGAAATATAACCGGAAGACATGAACTTTTTTGAACCCAGGCGGACAAAAAACAGGCGGGCAGAAACAGGCGACCGAGCCTGTACGTTTGTTGTTTCTTCCCTTCTCGGCCTTCGGTCTCAAAGGGTTGTTTGGACAATGAATATGCACGAATTTAGCTAAATGTCCTATGCATGACGATACACAAGTGCAGAAAGGAAATTTCCTCGACTGCAATATTCGGATTCTCCGACATTCCCTTGAAATAAAAGTAGTCCGCTTCGGTGGGCGTGGCTTAAGTTTTTTCATTTAATGGGAAATGGATGCAATAACAAGTGACCAATTCAGCTAATCAGATTGCAGGAATTACAATGAACACAACGAACATTTAATTGTTTATGTGTTTCAAGATGTTGGCCTAGCCAGTAAATTCATTCCTATCTATGTCATTGACATTAGATCTATTGTTACTTCATTCTTGAAACTCAGAAAGCTGCTGATGTGCTAGACTAACGCTAAGTCACTGAAAATATACAATTTTTATAGAAACAAATAACTCTATTTAAATTGAAAAGGAGCCCTAGTGAAATGGGAGATTCCAGAGCCTGAGAAATATCTAGACTTGCCTCATTTAGGGCTTTTGCATCATAGAAAGGGCTGGGTTGGAGGGCAAATAATATGGTTCAGGGACTGTTAGACATACTACTGATGTGCAACATCACATTATAACAATTCATAGTTCTACTGTGGCAGTGTTTAATTGTCACAAAAATATGCAGCCAGGCTGGCCATATCAAATGGATAGAATTAACAGTCTGCACTTCGTATGATAATACGTTATATTTCCATAAATACAATGTTGAAACACCCATTTATCATATGGCATGACTGAAAAACGTGTCTCCAACAAAATCCATCATTGCCCGGAAGGCAGATGTTCTAAATGGGTATTAATGATTTTATTTCAAGCTTTTTTCAATGGCATATTAAGCAGTGCATGGAACTGGTCCCCCATATCTTAAAGATCACACATGGCACTAGTATGTCCCTGCAAGAATGCTTTGGCAAAATCAACAATTCCGGCTGCAGGTTCCAAAGTCAAAGTCAAAGATCTTTGGCCCCTGATCGTAAAGTGTTGCTGTCGCTTCTTTGTGGACCTCACTCACTCTCACACTGAAGCCAGGGCCACACTTCACTCCCCAAGTCCAGCGCTATTCCCATTGACTCTGCAGATCTGGTTGATAAGCACTTTTAGAGTTAACTGCATTTGATAGTCTTGCAATTTGTGTGCACTTTGAGCATGCCCATGTGGTGTGGACAAATAGTGCAACATACATGACCTAATTATTATAATTTTTGGCAAAGCTCACCTAATATAGTTAGGAACAAGAAAAAACAAGAGTTTGCTACTAAACAGGCTATATCCCCCCCCCCCTTTTGCAGAATTTATGAGATAATTAAACCTAAACAAACCCTAACCTTTTTTAACCGAGGTTGATCTTGTCATGGAAATTGTCATCGAGTTTGGAACCTAAGTCCATCTTGTTGCCATGGAAACGTAAAAAATATTTCTAAAATTTCAAAAAATTCTAAATGGCAAAAGGCATCAGTTCAGCATGTACTTGACAGACCTGCGAAGTTTCAGGAAAAAATATTGAACGGTTTCTGGGTTATGCTCCGG